ACGTTACTCCCTCTCTCCCTATCTCAATCTCCCGAGCTCTCTCCCTCACACTCTCTCTCTATCTCTCTCTCTCTCTCTTTCTCAAAGTTTTCTTTCTCAAGGGCCGAATTTAAACCAAAAACGGAGGTTTCCAAGAGATTTTCAACATCAAAGCTTGGATCGAGGTAAAACTCTTTGAAACCTACTTTAGATTTTTGGATTTAGCTTTGTGGAACTCGTTTTAGTCGAGTTTGGTGATTTTTGGTTTAAATTTTGTTTTCGAATGGAATTCGAATGGGATTTGGTGAAACCTTAATGAAAATTGGGGGTTTTTGATTCTTTGGACCCTATTTATTGATTTGAAACTGGATCTAAACATTTTCTTTGAGAATAGGTCGAAACTGGACCCAAAATTTACAGGTTTTAGCTTTGTTCCTCGTGAATCGGCCATTGTTGGCCCTGGAATTCTTCCCCACCGGTCAACCGGTCACCCTTCCATAGGTCGACCGATCCGGTCGACTGGTCACCTCTCCATCGGCTGACCGGTGGAGTTACACTCCTCTGTCACCGGTCGACCGGTTCCCACTGAAACCGACCATAAACAGTCCTAAAACCCTGTTTTGACCACGAAATTCGATGTGGGATTGACCTAACCTCATTTGAGAACTCAAAATGAGTGGATTAGCCACATGAATGCTTGTTTTCCATTCGATTCTCCGGAATAACTTTCCATTGTCAAAGAATCATGATTTGAATTAAGAATTGTTTATGAACATTAATTTTGAACTATGGCACACTAATATGATACAATTGCATCTAATTAAACGAGAATGCTTGATGAGAAAGGTCAAACTCTAAATTGTTAATTTTGATGGGAAAGTTAGTGGCACGATTGAAATTGGAGCCTCAAAGGCAATCAGAGCTAGGGCTACGTGAAGACAGCCACAGGTTTGATATCCAACAAGTAGGATATTATTGTCCATATCCTTGTTAGCCTCATTTTTAATTATTTTGGCCAACGAAAATGTTTTAGAACAAAACATGTTTAAAGAAAATGATTTTAAAGAAATAGCATGAGAATGCTATTAATTTTTCCAATGATTTTAGAAATGAGATTTTAAAGAGTATCATTTCTTAAAATGAAATACTTTAAGGAATGATACAATGCATGGTGGCCTCAGAGATCGGGATGTGGGAATTGCATCCTTGGGGGCAGGTCCCGAAACCTGTACGGTTCCACTTCTTGTTTAGTGGAATTATGGCTCTGCACTTTTTATTAGACAGACATTTTTACCGCTTCTTGTTTAGTGGTATGATGAGCTGCACACTTTCATTATATAGACATATTCTATTATGTGAGTATTTCCTTTTTTCTGAAAAAGGATGATTGGTTCCGGGTGTATATCTTCGGACCGTGAGTACCTTTATTTTAAATGCTTTATAAAATTATATCCTACTGGGCCTTTCGCTCACCTTTTCCTATTTTCAAATGTATTAAACCCCTCCAGGCGACGCCAGAAGTAGTGTGGAGTAGGTAGCTACTACCGGCGACGTGGACTTATTTCAGGAAAGCGAAGAGTTGTATTTCCTCTAATCCCTTATCTCAAGGCATGTATAAAAGATTATGGATTGTAAACTTAAATATTACTAGACTGTGGTTGATGTCACATTTACTCATGTTTATATTCATGTATGCAAAACACCTGTGGAAATTCCTGACTTGATACCAGGGATGTGGTTTTAAACTGGTTTGGTTGGAAATTCCACCACCTTTCTTGAAATTGAATTTCTCCTGAATGAAAGGGGCTCGTTTGGAAATACCTGGATGTTTTGGATTTGAAAGAAATTGAAATATTTGCTAATCACTCTCTCAAACAGGTTTAAGTTTCTGAACGAGCCTCCACGTCACTAACCCCGATTTGGGGGCGTGACATGCACTCATCTCTCTTCTAGCACCCACCATAAAACTTCCCTTGGCACCCTATCATATGCCTTTTCTAAATCTATAAATACCATATGTAGTTCCATCTTGGCTTCTCTGTACCTTTCCATCAGCATCCTAAGAAGAAAAATGGCTTTCGTGGTTGATGTGCTTGACATGAAGCCAAATTGGTTACCTGAGATGGTAGTTGTGGCCCTTAATCTCCTTTCAATAACTTACTCCCAAAGCTTATTAACTTTATGCCCCTATAATTGTTACAATTCAGTACATCTCCTTTATTCTTGAAGATGGGGACACAAATACTTTCCCTCCATGCATCAAGCATAAGTAATAGAAAAAAGAAAAAAAAAGACTTAGAAAATGCATACTTAGAATCTGATGTCCACTACATTTTAGTTGTTTACTAAGGGTGATGTAACGTGAAAAGTATCATCAGAAAAATAAATAAATAAATAAAGCCTAAAAAATAATTTAGTTCAAATATGGCAACTAGAACTCCAAGTCTAAGGGAGAAGCGTGTTGAATGCCACTGCTTTACAAATTTGGTATATGTTAGCAGAATATTATTTAGTTCCTTCTTACTTAAAACAAATATTTTAAGAAAAAAGAAAACTACGCACAGTTAATAATTAAAAAAACGAAAAAAAGTGAATGTAAATAATAAAAAAATAATAATAATACCCTGCTAAAGGAAACAGCATTACTCAACTGCATAAATGAAGTAGGTGAATGTGACGATTCAAAACTAAACTGTGCCAAAATGTAATAGAAAGTTTAGTACAAGAACCATAAAACTCCAAAGACAATTAAGTCTAAAACACAAACCTATAAGGCATCAAACATATTTCCTTCATGTTTATACCATGACCAAATATATGGTACATGCTTAACTTTCCAGCAACACTAGTCTCCATCTGGTTGCACCAAAATCTAGAATGCAAGCACGAAGCATGTCCTCCAAAATCTGAATAACTCTCTCAGATTGTCTGTCGGTCTGAGGATGAAATGCGGTGCTGAAATTCAGTTCGGTTCCCATGGCTTCTTGGAAACTTCTCCAATATCTAGCGTTGAAACGAGTGTCATGATCCGATGTGATAGATAACGGAACTCCGTGAAGTCTGACAACGTGCTCCAGATACAACTCTGCTAGAACTTTCCAGGAATACGTCGCACGAAAGGGAATGAAGTGCGTGAACTTTGTTAGCCTATCCACAACGACCCATATGGCATCATGCCGATGTTCAGTCCTCAGTAATCCCATCAGAAAATCCATCGTAATGTATTCCCACTTCCATCCAAGAAGAGGAAGAGGCTGCAGTTCTCCAGCAAGTTTCCGACGTTCAGCCTTGACTCGAAGACAAGTCGCACATTCTGACACGCAATGGCGAACATCCTTCTTCATACCTCTCCACCAATACTGCCTTTTGAGGTCCTGATACATCTTGGTACTCCCAGGGTGAATAGCGAACCTCGATTTGTGAGCCTCGTGAAGGATTGCCTTTTTTATCTCATCCACTTGAGGAACGGCAAGGCAATTCCTGAAGTAGAGCGTTCCATCTTCCTGAATATTCCATTCGTCCAATTTTTCTCCATTATGAGCTCAAATCGAAATTCCCTGAAGATGCAAATCCTGCCATTGGTTCTGCTTAATTTGCTGTATAAGAGTTGGCGTTGAAACCAAGTTGTACACCACAGCTTGGTTAGAATCCTCATAATACTGAAGATCATAGTCACCTACAATTTCACTCCATTTCCAATCTTCCAGTGCCAAAGATGCTAGGATTCCTGGAGTCTTTTTGCTGAGAGCGCCTGCTACCACGTTGGCTTTTCCAGAATGATACTGCAAGGTGAAGTCATAATCCTCTATGTATTCCATCCATCTTCTCTGTCTCAGATTTAAGTCCTTCTAAGTGAACAAATACTTCAGACTCTTATGGTCGGAGAAGATTTGGAATTTTACTCCATAGAGGTAGCATCTCTATATCTTGAGAGCAAAAATCACAGCTGCTAACTCTAGATCATGCGTGGGGTAGTTCTGCTCATGTGGCTTCAGTTGACGAGATGCATAGGCCACAATATGTCCATTTTGCATCAGAACACACCCAAGTCCTCGTCTTGATGCATCAGAATACACCTCGTACGGCTCATTGCTATTAGGAATTGTCAGAATCGGCACACTGGTTAGCTTAGTCCTTAGTTCTTGGAATGCATGTTCACAATCGGCATCCCATTCAAACCTAACTTCCTTTTTAGTCAACCGAGTCATCGAAGCAGCAATACTCAAAAAATCCTTTACAAATCATCGATAATACCCCGCAAGTCCTAGGAAGCTTCGAATTTCGGCTACGTTCTTCGGTCGTTCCTATTGTAGCGCCGTTTCAATCTTTGCGGGATCCACTGAAATTCCTTGTCCAGATATAACATGTCCAAGGAACTTAACTTCTGTCAACCAGAAATCGCATTTCTCCTTCTTTGCATAAAACTGGTGTTCTCGAAGAGTCTGGAGAACGATCCTCATATGTTGCCCATGCTTTTCCCAAGTCTTTGAGTAAACCAGGATGTCATCAATGAAGACTATCATAAACTAGTCTAAATACGGACGGAAGACTCGATTAATCATATCCATAAAAGTGGCAGGAGCATTCGTCAATCCAAAAGGCATTACTAAGAACTCATAATGCCCATAGTAAGTTCTGAAAGCTGTTTTTAGAATATCATCTTCCTTAATCTTCAACTGATGATACCTGGATCTTAAGTTGATTTTTGAGTAATACCGTGATCTTCCCAGCTGATCAAACAACTCATCGATCCTCGGTAATTGGTACTTGTTCTTCACGGTAACCTTATTCAATTATCGGTAGTCTATGCACAACCGAAGGGATTCGTCGTGCCTTTTCACAAACAAGACAGGTGCACCCCACGGGGAAGTGATGTTTCTAATGAATCCCTTTTCTGCCAAATCTCCGAGTTGTTTCCTTTGCTCTTTCATCTCCGCAGGCGCCATTCGATACAGAGCAATAGAAATCGGAGCCGTTTCCAGAAGTAAGTTGATGCAAAACTCAATCTCTCAGTCAGGCGTTCAACCAGGCAACTCATCAGGGAATACATCGGCATATTCATCGACCACGGGGAGCTCAACATTCTCCCCGGTGATACCGGATTCACCCTCTAATGCCGAAAGGAATGAGAAACAAGCTAAATTCCGCCGTCCTCCGACACTATGCCTCAATACTCATTTTTCAGTAACCGGCTAAACACCTCCCTGATACGTTACTATCATGCCAGAACTAGTAGTCAAAGTAACTCTCATACGGTGGCAATCAACAATCGGCCCATATCTTGACAACCAATCCATTCCAAGCACTACATCAAACTGATTCATGGGAAGGATTATCAAATCTGCCTATAATTTCTCACTTCCAATCATGATCACACACGACCTACATATGCTAGTCACCTCCACACACCCCAGTGGAGATTTTATGAACATTGAAATCTCTAGATCATCAGGTTTCAAACCCAAAACTTTCACAGAAGAAGTGGAAACAAAAGAGTGCGTAGCACCAGTGTCAAACAAAAATCGTGCAAAAGAGTGAGAGATAAGTATCATACCCTCAACGACTGGGTTTCCAACATGAGCTCCAGAACTTCCCCCGGCCATGGTATGCATCTGCCCCGGTGCTTTCCCTTTTCCCCTCTCATTGTTGTTAGGTCTCTGGTTTCCAGGCCTGTACTATTGTTGCAGTGGGGTAGACTGTACTGATATGGAAGCCTGTGGCTGGAAATAAGAGTAGTTCGGTGGACGGAAGATCGGTACAGGAGGAAGTCAGTCTTGACTAGGAGCAATACCCCTTTGATTCTATGGTGATTGCTGGGTCTGTTGGTTTACCTGTTGGCCCCTAAGAGGACAGTTCCTCTTGATATGCCCTAGCTCCCCACAATGGTGGCATTTGAAGCTATAGGGTCCACTCTTCCCACTTCCCGAAGAGCCACTACTACCACCAGGCACTCCCCCACTACCTTGCCCCTGATCACGGCTTTTTCTGTTACTCCTTTGGGGTCCTCCTGAAGTTCTTCCTGAAGCTTCTCGATCCTGGAGGAAGGCGATGTGCTCTTGTTCAACAAAGATGGCTACTGCAACCAGGTCACTATAGACTCGATGCCTTAAAGCTATCACTGATTTTCGGATCACACCCTTAAGACCTTTCTCGAACTTTAGGCACTTCATGCGCTCTGATTCAATCAAGGAAGGAACAAAATGGGATAGCTCATTGAACTTAGCTTCGTATTCCTCACCGTCATATCCCTTTGCTGTAGGCCCATGAATTCCATGGCCTTTTCATCTCGATAACTTTAGGGAAATAATTTCTCATTAAAGAGTGCTTCGAATTGTTCTCAAGTCATTACCTCTACATCATGCATTCGCCGGATATGCTTCCACCACGCACCTGCAGGACCTTCAAACTTAAAAGTTATGAACTCCACCCAATACTCATCTGGTACTCCAATGGTACTTAGATGCTTAGACACCGATTCAAACCAATACTCGGCTTTTTGGGGCCCACCCACGCTAGTAAATGCAAGAATTGAACTATGCTTGTACTCATAGAAGTAGTTTTGTTTTCTGTCCTCCGCAGGACATTCATTTTGGGCTCTAGTAGCCATCCCCTGGATGGCGGCGTACATGGCTTCCATGAATTGCTCATTCGGCATCGCCGGCGGGTTAGGGTTTCTACGGCGCGGCGGCATTCTTTTATCTGAAAAGAAAGGTAGACTGTTTTAGTGGTCTCCCGATGTCATTCATGTGTGCATAATTCCAAACCCTAAGGTTCTAAACCAAGGGCTCTGATACCAAGTCTTGTCACGCCCCCAAACCGGGGTTAGTGACGTGGAGGCTTGTTTAGAAACTTAAACCTGTTCAAGAGAGTGATTAGCAAATAATGTTGCAAATATTTTAATTTTTTAAATCTAAAACATCCAGATATTTCCAAACAAGCCCCCTGCATTCAGGAGAAATTTAATTTCAAGAAAAGTGGTGGAATTTCCAACCAAACCAGTTTAAAACCACGTCCCTTGTATCAAGTCAGGAATTCCCACAATTTTTTAGCATACACGAATATAAACAAAAGTAAATATGACATCAACCACAGTCTAGTAATATTTAAGTTTACAATCCATATCTTTTATACATGCCTTGAAAGAAAAGATAAGAGGAAATACAACTCTTCACTTCCGGAGGTGAAGTCCACGTCACTGGTAGTAGCTACCTACTCCGCACTACTCCTCGCGTCGCCTAGAGGGGTTTAATATATTTGAAAACAAGAAAAGTGAGCGAAAGGCCTAGTAGGATATAATTTTATAAACATTTAAAATAAAGGTACTCACAGTCCGAAGATATACACCCGGAACCGGTCATCCCTTTTTAGAAAAGGAAATACTCTCATAGTAGAAAATGTCTGTATCATGAAAGTGTGCAGCTCATCATACCACTAAACAAGAAGCGGTAAAAATGTCTGTCTAAGGAAAAATGCAGAGCCATGATTCCACTAAACAAGAAGTGGATCCGTATGGGTTTCGGGACATGCCCCCAAGGATACGATTCCCACATCCCGATCTCTGAGGCCACCATGCGTTGTATCATTCCTTAAAATATTTCATTTTAAGAAATGATACTCTTTAAAATCTCATTTTTAAAATCGTTGGAAAACTTAATAGCATTCTCATGCTATTCCTTTGAAATCATTTTCTTTAAACATGTTTTGTTCTAAAACATTTTCATTGGCCAAAATCATTTAAAGTAAGGCTAACAAGGATATGGACAAGAATATCCTACCTTTCGAATGTCAAACCTGTGGCTATCTTCACGTAGCCCTAGCTCCGCTTGCCCTTGAGGCTCCAATTCCAATCGTGCGACTAACTTTCCCATCAAAATCAACCATTTAGAGTTTGATCTTTCTCACCAAACATTCTCGTTTAATTAGATGCAATTGTATCATATTAGTGTGCCATAGTTCAAAATCAATGTTCATAAACAATTCTTAATTCAAATCATGATTCTTTGACAATGGAGATTTATTCCAGAGAATTGAATGGAAAACAAGGATTCATTTGGATAATCCACTCATTTTGGGTTCTCAAATGAGGTTAGGTCAATCCCACATCGAATTTTGTGGTTAAAACAGGGTTTTGGGCTGTTTGTGGTGCCTATTGTGAACAGCAACCCGTACAAGGTGTAGATATCAGAAATAGTGGTGGTGGTGGTGATGCCTATTGTGGTGGTGGTGGTGATGCAGAGACTAAGAGAGAGTGTGAGTGAGTGAGAGGGTTACGGGAGAGGAGGGAAAAGAAAAGAAAGAAAGAAAAGAAAAGAAGAAAAGGAAAATAAAATGAGGAAAAGAAAATAATAAGGAAAGACAAATAAAAGTAAAGAGGGGTGAAACTGTAATTACCAAAAATAAATTTAAAAGTTCATGATTAATTAAGAAAATAAAATTAGGCACACTAATAAACCACAATTATCATAATTAAACAAGTTTAATTCCGGAGGGCGTTACAAGGGTCCTCATTTTCGCGTTCAAAGTAACCGGGAAATTTGTCCTCCAACCCAAAATAAGCAACTTAAACCAAACATAAGCATATCACGTAATACTAATCAAACTAACCTCACAACACACAAAACTAACATAAAACTCACACACCCTTATTACAACTTATTTCCTCAAGAACCACAAATTACATCCTTGATTCACAACTTAATTTTCGGTAGGAAAATATAGGAGAAAGGTTTAGTATTTATACCCTTGAAGAAAATCCTTGGTTAGGCTCCTCCTAGAATACTTGATCACCTTCTTCTGCCTCTAAGGTTTGTTAATGGCTTGGAATTAGAAGAGTATAAGAAAATTTGAGAAGAATATTTTTAAATCTCAAACTTTTCTAGAACATAACAAAGAGAGGGTTTAGAGTTTATACCCTTGAAGAAATTCTTGACTAGACTCCTCCTAGCACACTTTTATCTTCTTCTTCTTCTTCTAATGTTTGCTAATGGCTTAAGAGAGTGAGAGAAAATTTTGAGAGGCAATGGATGGGGAATGGACAGTTTTGGTGTGTGGAAAAGGAGAGGAAATGTGCAAAATGGACTAACTTAATGCTTGCCCTAATGGTCTAATATTTATAGACTTTTGCTTGATCTCTTCTTATCTCTTAATTAAGCCTATCAAGCTAGCTTAATTAGCAAGGTTTTTTGGTTAATTTCCCTCTTGCTTGGCCGGTTTGATGCTTGAAGAGAGAAGTGAAGTAAGCATTCTTGTTAAATAATTGATTTGATTCATCTCATCATGAAGTCTTCTAGCACACTCAACTAACAAAAATTTTGCTAAAATCCCCCTAAGCAAGGCCAACCAAGTGAAGAAAGAGAGGAGAAAAACTATCACGAGTACTCTTCATCTTCCACCTCACACCTCATCTAATTCTACACATTAACCTACCCCTTGTACTTTTATCCACTCTCTTAAGTTTCCTTTGAAACTGTTAAAACGAGCTTTGGTTGCACTTGATTTTATTTGTGCAGAGCTAGTCTTTGCCCTTTAGGCTTTGAAACTTGTGTTCAATACTCATGTGGTTCATCCATCTTCATTAGTGGGTCTAGTCAATGTCCGGGGTTGTACGCAGGTGTGTTCGTCATCACCACAAGATGTTAATTTTAAATTCCCAACCGTATGCTAAAAAAAAAAAAAAATTTACATTGCACGTGGTACTTGAATTGGTGTAAAATTATACTATTTGTCAACAATGTGCTTCACTATTATGTGAAGTTAGAACTATAGCACATCTTATAATAACCTTGGCATTTTTAAAAAGAACGGAATTAAAGACACGAAACTCTAATCCTAATTTTTGTACAAATTTTAAATACTCAAGTTGTCGATTTAAAAAAATTTGCTTTAATTTATAAAATGAGATTGTATTTTTTAATGAAAATATAATAACAACTCAAAGTTGATCCGAACACCCCCTTTGTGGACCTTATTTTTTTTTTACAAAAATAAATAAATAAATAAATAAAAGACAACAATGAAGTAGGCATATCATATAAGTAAAAGGGGTACTTTTACCTATCAATTCTTAAGACATTCACTTGTTTAACTATGATATCTCATATTCCCTTTTTAAAAAATAACTATCCTAACGTTTTAAAATACACAATATTGATCACCCTGTTAATAAACAATCCATTTTCAGACGTAATATGCAGAACCAGCGCATAACTTGGCAGGTATGCTTGATTGGTTTTTGTCGGAAGAAACCGACGAGAAAAAGTGATCCATTAAAAAAAAAATATAGATATTTTAAATTCAAATAGCTGGGTATGCTTATTGTATTAAGAATTCATATATTTTGAAATACAAAATGGAACGTGAATCTCATGACTATCAAATGCACGTTGAAATAGAAAATGCATCGTAAATCTCAGGAGTCAAGACTTTTGCTACAAATGCGCGATATTCCAAGTGGAGGATGAGTTTTGGATTCATATAAGATGCACGATATTGATAGCTTATACTAATTAGTTACTACTTTTGTATGTTACTGCGAACAAAATATTTTCCCTCTAGTTATAGCATCAATGAGAGACAGGGGTAGAGATCAAAAGAAAAGCGGAGGGAGAGAGAGTGTTAAGTTGTACATTGGTTGGTTACTTGCGATATGTTGATCCGAATTGGTGGCCAGAACCGTGTGATCACTCTGCTCCACTAAAATGTTAGTAACTCTGCCAGCTATATGAAGTCCAATTATTGTCTTAAGCCTAAATCTTTGTAAGGGTAATATAGACTTTCTCTTTGAGAAGCCCTCCTTTTTATTTCGGATTTGCCTTTGGAAACTTAGATTTCGTTGAGATTGGGGAAGTGTGATTTGAACTTGATTTTGGGCTGAAATTTTGATTGGAACCCATGATGGATATTTGGGGATTTTGGTTTCTTGAACTTTGAGAAGAGTTTGGATGTTGGTTTATATGTCTCCCTTATGAATTTCCTTTCAAAATGAACCAAAATCCCGAGTTTTACAGGTTTTTGAGTTGATTCGAATAGTTCTCCAGTGCGGTCGACCGGTCAGCACACCACTGGCCGACCGGTGGTGATGCAGTCCTCTGTCACTTAGTATCATATTTTATATCAAAATAATAGTACTGTGCTAAATTTTCTGTCAATGTTAGTAACTCTGCCAGCTATTTGATCAAAAGGCCACATTAGTATAATATTTTATATCAAAATAATAATAATAATAATAATAATAATAATAATAATAATAATAATAATAATAAATAAACAATAATAAAACACTTCAATACCATTTTTGAGGTCGATGCAAATATATTGGTCAAATTGATGATATAGTACTATTCTAAATTTTTTTTTAAAGGTTTTGGATATAAGTGATTCATCTTTTGCGTGTGTGAAGTCCAATTATTGTTGCGAGCCTAATTCTTAGTAAGGGTATTATAGACTTTCACCCATGTATTTTTCAGTTACCCTAATTTATGAAAGATAAAACTATATTGGCAAAATGCTGTAAGGGTATTATAGACTTTCACCCATGTATTTTTCAGTTACCCTAATTTATGAAAGATAAAACTATATTTTCTAAACCTGTTCTCTTAGTCCAATTATTGTCGCAAGCTTAATTCTTAGTAAGCCTAATTATACTTGTATTGGGAGGCGTCATTTTCAGTACTAAAGTTTATGAAAGATAAA